TAACCGCACTGAATATCCACGTCCACAACCCAGGGCCCATCCGCGCATGCAGATACGACAGCGTGGCTCTCATTATGAACGAGGGAGAGCAGATGACGAGAGGAAAGGGAGAGGGATGGGAGAGTTAAGGGAGAGTGAATGGAGAGTGAGTGGAGAGGGGCGAGAGAGGAAACGGTGAAGGAGGGGAGAGAGGGAGGGGAGAACAGCGCGTGAGGGATCAGAGAGTTTATGGAGATGGAAGGGAGGAGATGGAAGGGAGGAGAAGGGAAGAGTGAGGAGAGAGGGAAGATCGAGGAAAGGGGAGAGAGTGTGGGGCAGGAGGAGTGCATGCGAGAGACGGAGAGAGCGAGGATGGAGTGGGACGATGGGGAATTGTAGCTCAGAGGTGGCGAGTGGAGAGACAGAGAGGTGGGGGGAGGGGTGGCGGGGGACCAGATTGGAGACGCAAGCAGCACTTGCGGTGGCGGAGAGCGGCCGCTGGTGCACCCTGAGTGGGCACCCAGAGTGGGCACCCTGAGTGGGCACCCTGAGTGGGCACCCTGAGTGGGCACCCTGAGTGGGCACCCTGAGTGGGCACCCTGAGTGGGCACCCTGAGTGGGCACGAGTGAGTACCCGTAGTGGGCACCGAGAGTGGACACCCAGAGTGGGCACCCAGAGTGGGCACCCGTAGTGGGCACCCGTAGTGGGCACCCAGAGTGGGCACCGAGAGTGGACACCCGTAGTGGGCACCCAGAGTGGACACCCAGAGTGAGCACCCAGAGTGGACACCCAGAGTGGGCACCCAGAGTGGACACCCGTAGTGGGCACCCTGAGTGAGCACCCAGAGTGGACACCCAGAGTGGACACCCAGAGTGAGCACCCAGAGTGGGCACCCTGAGTGGACACCCAGAGTGGACACCCGTAGTGGGCACCCTGAGTGAGCACTCTGAGTGGACACCCTGAGTGGGCACCCGTAGTGTGCACCGAGAGTGGGCACCCCTAGTGGGCACGAGTGAGCACCTATAGTGGGCACCCCTAGAGTGGACACCCAGAGTGGACACCCGTAGTGTGTACGAGTGAGCACCCAGAGTGGACACCCGTAGTGGGAACGAGGAGTGAGCACCCAGAGTGGGTACGAGTGAGCACCCAGAGTGGACACCCAGAGTGGGCACCCAGAGTGAGCACCTGTAGTGGGCACGAGGAGTGGGCACCCGTAGTGGGCACGAGGAGTGGGCACCTCCTGGCGGCAGATGGCCATCTCGGTCGTAACGGAAATGGTAATCGGCAGCGAATGAAAGCGAGAGGAAGAGCCTTGTAATGTAACCCGTTGGGTGAGGCCAGCACCCGCTCCCACCTCACCCAACAGCAATCGTAGGCAGCACGGCCCCCCCCCCATCTCGTCCTCCAGCACCCACCCCGCATCGCGCCCCCCCCCCCCCCCCACATCGCCCCTCCACTGCATGCCAATCGCGGGCAGCCAAGCCCCCAAGAAGCCAGTGCGGAGGCGAGCCTCTTTTGAAAGGGCACCACAACAAAAGAGGTGGACAGAATGTCCGTGCCTCCTCTGCACTTTTACAAGGTGCACCCAAGACTTACAACGTTACTAAAAAGGGGAGGGGTGGCGGGGGGACCAGATTGGCTGGGGTGGCGGAGGTTACAGGTGCAGCCCTGCGATGTCTCGCTCATCGTCGTCCCGTGAAACCGCGCACTCACGGCGCGCTCCCTCTGCTGCGCCTTCACGATCCGAGGCGCGCCCAAGGAGCCAGCCCCCCCCCCCCCCCCCCCAGCGCCCCCCACCACCGCACGATGCTCCGCGGAGCGCCGAGTGGTGCGCGACCGCCGATCCGGCGTGCCAAGGGCACGGCACTCTCCTGCTGGCGCGTCCGTCTCTTCCACCCAGCCCCCAGCCCCCCACCTGACCCCCGCCCCCGACCTCTCGTTGCAATCAGGGCCCACTTCTGCCGCGACCAGCAGCAGCGAGCCCGAACCTGCGAAACGCACTCGCGATTTGTCACCAATTGTCCCGTTTCAGCTTGGCAGGATCGGCGCGTTTCATCCAGAAATTGCCCCTCTTTCTCCCTCCCCCCCCCCACCGTTCGCTTCTCCAGCTGCTACTCTCCCCCCCCCCCCCCCCCGCTGTGATTTTCGCTCGAGGGAGGGAGGGAGGAGGAACCGAAACCTTCACAAGGTACACGGTAATGGGCTTTCCGAATTATAGATGGGCGCCTCGGAAAAGCAATTTTCAATTTGTCCCGTATTGTGGCGTACTCTCTTATTAAAATTTACGCTCGTCTCTCGTTCCGACCACCCACTGACCTCGCCCAACCCTGCCCGCGCCACCCCCCCCACCCCCACCTAGACATCAGCCGCAATAAAATAAAAGTAAAACATATCAATGCCCAATTCGCCCTTTTACTTCATCGTTTCCAACCCCCCCCCCCCCCCCCCCCGTCTCTTCCTCCCAGCCTTTAATGTTCCACCTCGATTCCTTTCGGGTTTCACGTCGCAACGTTCCGGTTCCACGTGGCCCCGAGGAGGAGGCTTTTAAAAATTCGGGCCACTTTTAGGTCTCTCCATTAGCCGGAGAAACGCGTGGGCCAAGAGGGGACGGTCAAAAATAAAAACCCGAAAGGGAAAATGAAAGAGGAAGCATATATAAATAAATAAAAAGCGCCGAACCGCGTATGAATAATTCTTTGTGATTTACAGGTTTCAGGCTGCGCGGTGACCGCTGCTGGGCCCCGGCCCCCCCCCCCCCCCCCCCCCACGCAGCCCCCCACTTCTAAACAGCGCCGCCGTCTTCTGCCGCGAGCCTTTGCGGCGAGAAATTCGGTTTTGCTCACGAACGGTTTCCGAACCCGCGCCAGATTCAGGGGAAGCTATTTCTCCGCTTGGAACCTGCCTTCCGTGATCCGTTCTCGTTGTCCTTCCCCTCGCCGACGCGCGCGGTTGGCTACGTACGGTTGCGAAAGATGTTCGACGTACACAAAAACAAAGACAAAGGTCGCCCGTGTAGCCTGAAACAAACTGCTGGGGCGAGTGCTGTTAGCGAGCACCTATGAAGGCCGGCGCGGCACACCAGGGGGTGGGTGACCAGCACCACGCCTGGCCGCCTTTGTCTCTCCGCAGTAGCGATGTTTACACACCACCACCAGGTATTAATTTCAGGCCGAGTCGACCTAGGGGAGACCCAGGACCGGTTCATATTTTCGCCACTGGTTGTTGGCCGCGAGCGGGAATTGAACCCGGGTTGCCGGGTTCGTAGCGCAACGCACTAACCGCTGCTACCACCGCTCCCTACATAGAAACATCTACATGTGTATAGTATGCTAATTCACAGACACGAGTAAAAAATACTCTCTCTTTCATTCCGCCCTTCACAGCCTTAGAGGATAACCACATACTGGGTCGGGACAGCCAACACGCTGCCAGACCCACAGCTTGCAGAGGGCAAAGATCACGCCGACGACGGCAGCACGACGAGTTCCACTCCAGATCGCGGCAGCCCCGACTGCGAGTCGGAGCTCGCCTTTTATCCTCACCAGCGTGGCCAGGCTCCGCCCTCGGCCCCGCACCCCTATGGATCCCCCAGAGGGCTCCGTGCCTTGCCCACAGGTGCGGGCTGTTACCCCTAATTCTATTGTCTACCAATCTCCCAGCGGCACGCGCTACAGTGACTCATTCCCTGTCACGCTACATGCATACGCGCTCCTGGTTTAACGAATGACGGTGGCGTGAACCATGCCTCCGTCAAGTAACCATGGGCCCGGAGCAACCAAAAGTCACCGCGGCCTATCGCCGAAAACGCGGCCTCCCGGCTGTCACCTGATCCGGACGCGGAACGCAGGCGCGGTTCATCCCGAATTCGGCCAAAAAAAGAAAAAAACCTCGCCTCGCCACGACTCACCGAAAAATAGAATCTAAAAGCTGAGCCATTTCCACTGGACCGTGGCAAATCCCTCAGGGCGAGGCGAAACCAGAGCTCCCCCCCCCCCCCACCCGTTTTTTTATCGAAGTCAGAGTACAGATCTAACTGATAAGCGAGTCTGATTGTATTAAAGCCATCTCTGAACACAAAGCCATGGACATTTGTTAAAAACTGCATTCCGAACCGTGACCCGTTGAGCCAACAGCCGAACCCTTGCCAAAGCCACCGACAAAATTCTGGCCCATTGCACCGATAACTTACCCTCATCGGAGCGCATAAAACCCGACCCTAAACGCACCACTCGTTTCACCAAGAGACACAAAAAAACCCAAATTCATTTCACCAAAAAAAATACGCCGAACTCATCGGAATGCAAACCCGTAGCCCCTGACCCACGGCTGCGAATGCGCGCTCGTCAGGACGTTCACCGGTGGAGATGAAGCAACGAAATCCGCTCGTATTCAGAGATAGGTGGAGGCGCTTTTGGGGGTAAAGCCTAACCAGTTGGACCCTGGACCCTGACCCCCGGGGTCACGCGAGAAGTGGCACCGGGCAAAATTGCAAATCAAGCGAAAGCCTATTTTAGCGAGCCCACGCAGCTCGCGTGGTGTCGTGAAACAACAAAAAACAACAAAATAAACTATTCGGGAGTGAACCAAATACGCGCTGGAATCGAAATCCGCACATTAAAAAGGCAATTGAAATAAAATTTGGAATTTTTTTTAACAAAAATTCTATGTTATCCCGTGCTACATGGACATTATCTCATCTCCCATCCTCACGTCTCGCCAAAATATCTCAGCTCACCGCGTCCGTCTCATCTCTACCTCTCGTATCTCATCTCTCTCGCTCCTTCGTCTACAATTCATTTCTCTCGTATCCACTACATCCGCTATCGCTTGTCTCCATCTCTTCTGTCATCCTCACCACCTGGAACTTTACAAATCGAACGAATGGGTGGGGCGGATGGAGGTTGACTCCCCCCACCCCCCTAAAAATAATTCTGTCAGAGCCCCCCACTTCATGCCACCCCATCCAACCCAACCTCCCCCCCCCCAATTGGGGGGCACGGTGCCACCCTGGCCCACGTACTGTACTGGCAGCCGTAGACGGCGACCCTGAGTCCAGGCCGGCCCCCCGCGTCCCCGGCCTGGCCCCCCGCCGCGTCTCCCGGGGCCCCCCCTCCGGGGAGCTCGAAGCGCAGGAAGCGCGTGACCAGCGGGCGCGGCAGCTCGTGGCGGACCACGGAGTCGGCGTTCTCGTTGCCGGAGAAGCCCTGCGCGCACACACACACACGCACACACAACAACAACCGCCATTCGCCACTAAGTGGCGGTGACGTCACCACGACGCTTGTGCCAGGCCATGTGCACCTTGAGGCCACGTGAAGTGTCGAACGCCCGCTGGCAGGAGGTCACGGGGCAGACCCAGGTGCCACGTGTCGACTGACTGAGATGACTGGCTGATGCACCACCTGTGCCCCCTACTGTGCCAACCTGCTGTGCCCTAGTCACCCGGCGCTCCGCTCGTTGTTGTGAGCGTCGCTCCTCCGCCCTCCGTTGTTGTTGGAGGGCGACTGCCTCCAACTGCCCAGTAGCATCCTTCATGAGCCTCCTCCACAGAGGCCGATCTTGACACCGCTGGTACCAGTCATCGGCAAGTCCACTCAGCTCCACGTCCTCCTGTACCACATCACTCCATCTCTTCTCTAGCCCGTGCCGCGCCCGCTTAGCCCCCTCGATCCGGCCGAACAAAAGCTGTTTCGGCATGCGGTGGCTGGGCATGCGGGCTACATGACCCGGCCAACGCAGCCTTGCCTGCCGGAGGAGCTCACCGATGGGACCTTGCCCAGATCTTTCAAGGATTTGTGAGCTCCTCACACAATCCAGTCTGGTTAAACCCAGGATGGATCGTAGGCAGGCCAGCCTAAATGTTTCCAACCGGCGAAGATGTTCCATTAGGGGGGTCCACACACACGCACACACACACACGCACACACACACGTGCACGCACACACACGCGCACGCACACACGCACGCACACACACACAGGCTCGTATGGAGACTCACATAGACTCCAAATAGAGACATAGGGACTCACATAGAGACTCACACAGAGACTCGCATGGACGTAGAGGAGACTCGCATGGAGACTCGCATGGAGACTCGCATGGAGACTCACATGGAGACTCACATAGACATAGAGACTCCAAATAGAGACATAGGGACCCACATAGAGACTCACACAGAGACTCGCATGGACGTAGAGGAGATTCGCATGGAGACTCGCATGGAGACTCACATAGACATAGAGACTCCAAATAGAGACATAGGGACCCACATAGCGACTCACACAGAGACTCGCATAAACGTAGAGGAGACTCGCATGGAGACATAGGGACTCGCAGAGACACAGAGACTGACTGCTTGCCGCAGATGTTATACGGTTCAAACCCCTGCGGGCCGCCCTGGTTAATACCGCGGGTGCATATCCACCCGGAAAACACCGCGCGCCATCCGCATCAACGGTGCGCGTTCAAGATTCCCGCGGCTACGCATCACGAGAGGGGCCGCCGTGCCCTCGGCGTCGTGGCCCACCACGTCTTGGCAACAAACAAAAAATGTTTTAACTTTAAAAACGTGCAGCGCAAATGACCTCATTGGAATAGAGAGCACGCACGCACGCACGTGCTCTCGATTCCACTTTAACTGTCGCGGCGCGCGCACAAAGCGGACAGTCGGGAGGAGTGGATTGGTGCGGGGTGTGGGGAGGCCTCACACGAGGGATCGGTCAGGGTCACAGAGGTGAAAGCGACTGGGGGGAGAAATTCAATGGTAAAAGATGGGGAGGGGGGAAGGAGACGAGAGTTGACTGACGAAGAGTTGGGGGGGAGAAGGTGGCGGGGGGGGGGGATTGGCTGAGAGAGAAGAGGGGGTGAGCGAACTTTCGAGAAAGGGGGGACTCTCTCGAGGGGTATCGACAGAAGACAAGCACGAGGGGAAGGGGCGGTTGGAGAGTTGGCCAAGTTCTGGCTTCAAGAAGAGCGCTCGCGTCTAACAGTGAAGGGCTCTTCGTTAGGCGAAGAAGTCTGTGTCGGGCGTCGTTACATCGTGGGAGATTTACAGCGCGAATGACTACGTTGGAATATTTAGTACAGAGCAATCCCCTCCCTCCGGCAAGAGCTTGGCAGGCCCCTCCTGAACAAGGATCACGAGACTCACTAAGGCTTCCCTGCATAAACAAGCACAGTAACAACAAGTAATAACAACAACAGCATACGGACACAAAAGCTAATACAAAGATCCCCCGCATCGCCCTGACAGACTGTTGGTGGACAAGCGATGAGCATCGCAGAAGGCCGGCACGGCACACGAGGGGGTGGGTGGCCAGCACCACGTGGTGTTTATCTGAACCGGTCCCCCCCCCCCCCGACTCCACCCCCCAGTTCTTCACAGGCTGCACGTGGTACTTATTAAAGGATGAAGTTCGGCCTGTGGGAGGCCCGGATCCGGTTCAGATAAACACCGCTGGTATCGCCGGCGGGGCCCGGGAATCAAATGCAGGTGGCTCAATGCCGTTCGTGGAGCGTGCTAACCGCTGCGCAACCACAGCCGCCACACTCCCGCATGCTCACTCGCACTCGCACACAAATGGTGTGAGAAGTAATTGTGTTCTATTTGTGTGCGCGCGCGCGTCATGAGCAATTAGTTGACGCGACCCAGGAGCCACTCGAAGCTCCGAATGTGAAAATTATTTTTTAGTGATTCTCGAATGGAAACTCGACTCGTGGCGACTCGTGGCTACATATGGCGACTCGTGGCGATTTCTGACGACTCGGAGTGACTCGTGGCGACTCGTGGCGATTTCTGACGACTCGTGGCGACTCGTGACAGTCGGCAGCCACTCTGGGCAGCCCCAAACCGAGACGCGAAGCAACGGCGCCAGCAAAACCGAAAGAGAGAGAGAGGCAGTCAACCGGTACAATCAGGCCCCTTGACCTCGGCTCACAATGGCTCGCAACGGCTCACCACAACCACCACCGTCACCACCAACTACCTCCGAGTGAGGAGGGGGGAGGGGTGGAGAAGTAATCAAATAAATAAATCGACCGCCCCCCCCCCCCCCCTCGCGCGTTCTCTTTGTCCTATTGTGACGCACGCAGATGATCGCGACGCATCCCCCGTGGCTCGCATCGCGGAGAGGTGACGACCCAATCATTTTCGTAAATTAATCAGCCTCGCTCTCCCCCACCCCCACACCCACCCACCATCAAACCCTCCCCTCCCCGCACCCCATTGTACGAGTTTGTTTCTTCAATATATTACGACACACACACACAAAACATCGACCACCACGGCGCCTCGCGGCTGTGAGTAGAGCACATTTAATGAGATGCCACCGTGTCGATGTTTTGGTGTTTATGTTTTGACGTTGAATTAAGAAGGTGGCGAGGGGCGGGAGAAGTCACGGTGCGTTCCATCGCCCCGCGCAAATCGCTCAGCGTCACGCTCGCCGATGATGATGGCTTCGTATGCGAGTCGAACTTCCTTCGCACCGTACCGAGCCAACCGTGCTGATCGTCGTTGACTTTGGTTTGCCTTGTTGGACCTGGACTCGGCCCTGCCATAGGAATGTTGAATTTCTGACACCGACAAAGAACTGCCGATGACGATGAACATTGGCGTCACACACACACACACAGAGGCAACAACACCCGATATATTTGTTTGAAGGGAGCCAACAAAGTATTGCGCACGTCCAACCGTCTCTGTGTCCGCGTGTCAATCCGCGTGTCCATCTGTAGACCCATCTCTCATCCGCGCGCCTGTTCACGTCGGTCAATCTCTGAGTGCGTTGTGGCTTTCCATCCACCTGTCAGTCCACACATTAACTACTCTATCCGTTCGTCTGTCTCCCTCTGTGTCCATCCATCCAATGATACTTCTCATGGATTTGTATTTTATTGCAACGGCGCCGGTCCTGAACTCACTGCATCAGTACTACCCTCACCACGCAGCTCACCAACACCTGTACTAAACTCACCACACAGCTCATCAACAGCTGTGCTAACCTCACCAACACCTGGACTATAACCTCACCGCGCAGCTCACCTGCACCAATTTCAACCAAACCAACCAACGCGCATTAATTTTTTTTTTCAAAGTGCAATTTCTTTTGTGTTTTAGGATTCCGAAAAGCTTTTAAACGCGACAGACCCCCCCCCCGCCCCCCCCCCCCCTTCGGCTCCCTATGGCGTCAGAGTCAACTCGCACTGGGCGTGCGCCTTGCAGGACGATGGAGCGCGTGGGTTGTCAAAGCAGAGCGAGTGAGCGAGCCAACGATCCGCCACAACTCCCTCCATCCCCCCGTGAAATCCGAGGCATCCCTCGCTCAGCCGGGCTGGCCGGATCGCCCTCACTGTGCACCGTCGCTAATGGGGGGGGGGAGGATTGAGATAACGCGCCCGCCGCGTTATTAATTCATTAGGGCTGCATATTTGTATTTATTTCATCAAAGGCGCTGCCAGGTAATGGATAGAAAGCTCCGAGCGGTTGCACGAAACTCATCTCCCGCTCGGGTGGATGTGAAAACAATCATCACTTAGTGCCCGTTTAGCAATCTCCTCCTCATCCGCATCCTCTGTACGGCTGCTGATGTTGATGTATCGAGCAAACAGCTGTCATTTTACATCGACGTTGCCGAGGCAGATGACTGCGTCAGGAGTAACAAGCGGAGTGGTGAATCGTCGCTGCTGTGATGATGATGATGATAATAATGACGATGATGCCTCCATCCTTCGCGTTTGTAAGTCGGGCACCGAGTCGTTCCGCGTTCCGTGATCTCTGTTCTGGGTGGAGATCACAGCAGGGAGTGTTTATCTCTCCATGTTGTGCATCATCATCAGGGCGTGGTGCTGGACACCCACCCCATCGTGTGCCGTGCCGTGCCGGGCTTTAACAGCTGCTCGCTAACAGCACTTGCCACAAGTCTTTTGTCTTTGTCCTGCACCATCATCATCATCATCATCGTCGTCGTCGTCATTTAGTATATGCGCAGCTGCTGTTGCTCCCATTGGTTCGGTCTGAATCGTCGACGCGCTGCTGTCTCTGGGGGTCGCTACTGGATGAGCCGAGTCTGCTTCTTCACTCCGACCGAGTTGATCTCGTCTCGTCACAGTCCATCGCGCTTCGGCCTCTCGTGGGCAGATGGTGATGATGATGATGAAAATGATGGTGGTAGTAGTGGTGATGGCAAGGGTGGTGATGATGATGATAA